GGGAGCCTCCAAAGATAACCTCCTCTCTCTCTACATATCACTAATTAGATCAAAACTAGACTACGGCTGCGCCATATACAACACCCTAAACAACTCTCTATCTAAAAAACTTGACTCAATACAATATCAGGCTCTCAAACTAATTACACGCACCCAACATGGCACCTCCTACACCTCACTTCAGGCCTTAACAGGAGAAATGCCACTAAGTCTACGCAGGGAACAGCTAAGCTTAAATTTCTGTAAATTAAAATACCCAAAATAGACACAACACTAGCTAGCCAAATAAATAAACAAACCGACCCAAACATAGCTAAAACTACCACACTAGCATACATATACGAAAATTGGCCAAATTGGTGTCACATTTACACGGACGGATCCTCAGATCCGACATCCAAACACACAGGTTTCGGAGTCCATACCACACAACCAACTAAAACCACACAATCCTTCCGACTCCCAAACAACCAATCAATGTTCACGGCAGAACTAATGGGCATGGCCTCAGCCCTCCATAATCAAGAATCCAAAAACCACAAAAAAATCCTAATACTTACCGACTCCCTAAGTGGACTGCAAGCCCTCCAAAACAAAAATACCAAAAACCGACCTAAATTAATAAATCAAATACTTAAAAGCTCCAACGACCTAACTAAGGCAGGCAAACAAATAACCTTCTTGTGGATACCCGCCCACGTAGGAATATACGGTAATGAAAACGCCGATAAAGCAGCTAAACTATCCCTCAAAATCCCAGAAATAAGCTTAAACCACAGGAGTCCGTATCTAAAAATAGACGCCCTCATGCATATTCATGACCATCTCCACACGCGAGCTCGCGTGTGGAGATGGTCATGAATATGCATGAGGGCGTCTATTTTTAGATACGGACTCCTGTGCTTAAACTTACCCATCTCAAAATCAGAAATTCAAAGTGTAAACAAGCAAAAAATCACAAAAAATGGCATAGCCTATATCTAAACTCAAATAGCCAAATCAAAAAAGTGCTCAGCAAACCACTAACCAAACCAAAAATTCTCCATCCATCAAAAAAAATCGACAGAGTAATCACTAAACTCCAAACAGGACACACCAACCTAAAAAAAATAAAAAAACACACTACAGGTAACTGCCCACACTGCAAACAACCAGAAACCCCAGAACACGCACTCATCCACTGCACACACTACCTAACACATCGAACCGCATTACAAACCACCCTCAATCTATACAAGTCTCTCACTCTAGAAGCAATACTTAACCCACAAAATAAACTAGAAAACTTCAAGGCCTTAGGCGTATTCTTAATCAAAACGGAACTAATAAAACGCATCTAAAAACACAATAACCTACCAAATCAAAATCACATAAACAAACAAACATCCACCATACCCAGCTCTCTCAGTTCTCCTCCCCAACTCCATCGGCATCTATTCCAAATCTCAAAATTCCCAAATTCTATATAAGCAACCCCTAAACCCCCCTCTTGGGTTGCACAGACAACTTCGCCCCTTTCGGAAACACATTAAATGGCCCGGCCGGGCCCATGTGCGAAATACGCATCAGTCGGAAAGCGCACGTTAAATCTCCAAAGTAAGTAAGTAAGTTTATATAAGCAACCCCTAAAGCCCCCTCTTGGGTTGCACACACCACTTTCGCACCTTTCGGAAACAAATTAAATGGCCTGGCCGGGCCCGTGTGCGAAATACGCATCAGTCGGAAAGCGCACGTTAAATCTCCAAAGTAAGTTAGTAAGTAAGTAAGCAACTTTGTTTTACAGTCGTGATGTTTAAGATTATTAACAAACCGGGACAAGTCGATCCGACAGGTTGAATGATACGCAGGATGCAAAAGGAGGTAAGCGCAAGTACGGTACAGAAACTGAAGTAAGTTGGGCTCTCTTAGTTTTCTGTATGCTTACACATCATCACGTCATACTAGTTTAATTTAGTTTCTTATTCTAATACTGCTAATCTTTATCAGTGGCCAGTGAAAGTATCACAAGGGAAAATTCCAATATATACAAAATATACAATTTGTATATATGGTATATCCAAAAATATACAATTTTGTATATATGGATAGATTTTACCACTGCTTTACTCAGTTCCTTTTTACTGGATTCTCACAATATGTGGTTAATATTGAAAATATTACTAATAATACCGGACATTATTATTGCATGTGACAAATATACTTTAAAACTATATATGTTCATTATGACAACTATATTTGGAGTGTTATGAAATAATTGGCATTTATTCATGTTGACAGCATTTTAATTACATAAAAAAGAAATAGAAGATTTCAGCAGACTTTTGTAACTGTTAGATTTAAAATACGTCCGCCTACTGTTTACAAATATGATGATCTATACATACAAGTAGTTCAGAGTAGTTTTAAACAGTGACGGTAAAATAAATTTATCGTGAATAGCGGCAAATATGAATATATACAATTTAATCTATATGTTTCTGTTATGTCATGGTATGTTGATTCTGAATCTAAAATATTGCTTGATATTGTTTGCCAAACAGTTGTATGCACTGTCCATCGTGATATTTCTACTTAAGTATATAAAAAAGGATGTTTGTTTAGACATGCCTTCATTGTAAACAACGCCGTGTTTTCGTTTGCTGGTTAGCTTTTACAGGTCAAAAGCAGAGTTAATCGCATTACTTTCGTGACGCATTTTAGGCCTGTCATACAGTTCCTGAAACAAATATATCCAATACAGCCGATGCAAGTCAATCATATTTGGCAAGACTAGATTACTGCAGTTATATATTTTATCAATAGGGGCGGTCGGGTAGCCTAGTGGTTAAAGCGTTCGCTCGTCACGCCGAAGATCCGGGTTCGATTCCCGACATGGGCACAATGTGTGAAGCCCATTTCTGGTGTCCCCCGCCGTGATATTGCTGGAATATTGCTAAAAGCGGCGTAAAACCATACTCACTCACTCACTATTTTATCAATATAATCAAACAATTGTTTTTATTTTTGTAACATATGTTCATTTCAGAAACTAGATGTTAGTCTAGCTAGCCAGCGGTCTAAACATGCATTAATTTGGTTACACGTTTCATGATTTACAGTATTCGTGAAGAATATGTAACAATTAGCCACAATTAGAGCCTTTGGTAGGAGTAGAGGGAATGATAAGCATAGACTTGCTAAGTATTTTATGATATTCATGATAGCTCAAAAGAAACTTTGATTTATGTTTGTAGTACACCCCAAAAATAGGGATAACACAAGTGATATATTAAGATGACATACAACTTACGTGTATAAACTACCAGTACATATCAACCCATTCACTGTTTTTCTACCCGTGAAGATCCTGGGTAGAATAGCTCTTCAGCAACCCATGCTTGCCGTAAAATGTGACTATGCTTGTTGTAAGAGGCGACTAACGGGATCGGGTGGTCAGGCTCGCTGACTTGGTTGATTCATGTCACCGTTTTATGAACCAAGTTGGAGCCATCTTGCATGTGTCCAGGTGGATTAGATGTAGCTTATTATGAACATATATGGCCGCAGCCTTCAACATCTGCTGATGAAATAGTGGTATGATTCCCGAGTCTGAAACAGGATATTCCTTATATTTTTCTCCAGGTTTCTGCATGATTGGTAACTTCACGACGCACGTCCCCAAAAGTGCAGCCGTCAACACCCTCAAGGACCTCATTGCTTGCGGCGTCAACATGGGCAAGATTCGGTGCAGCTACATCCTCAGAGGCCACAGCGACATGGGCAACACCGACTGTCCCGGGACAGCCCTGTACAACCTCATCAGAACATTTGATTGAAAGTTCATTTGGTAAGGAATAAAATGAGAATCAAAATATTATTTTGAATAAGAACAATCATACACACCTATTTCTGTTTCCACAACCCTCCTCATCAGTGATCCTGTTGGTTGATTATCTCACTATATATAATAGCCAAGAATGCATAAGAATAATTACGAATGGATTACAATACAGCCACGAAATTGCAATTCGGGGACCCTTCCACAAACAAAACCTTTCTCGCCGAACTCCCGCAAACTGTACGAATGTTTGGGAATGAAGAAAAAGATTCATTTAAGAACTTCAAGAAATGATTGAGATTTATCTAAGAACATGACAAATTTCCGATTCGGTGTGATTCGTGATATTCGTGGTGTAGTGGAATGGGGGCTTAATTATGGGGGGTGATCTTTACTTGTTGGCCTACGCGACCGGAAACTAGCTTTTATTCCCTCGTGACTTGCACGATCCGGAACCTAGACTCAATGATATTTTCCTGTTGACCTGCATGATCAGAAACTAGTAGTCATATTACCCCTGGACTACCGGAAACTAGTGATCATTTCCTTTTGAATTGCACGGCCACAAGAATATATTATAATTTCCTGTTGCCCTGAACAACCGGAAACTGGTGTTCATTTTGCCCCCCACGACTGGAAACTAATGACCATTAACTCTGGTCCTGCACGGCCAGTAACTAGGGATCATGTCCTGTTGTCCTGCACTACCGGAAAGTGGTAGTTACATCCTGTTGTCGTGCACGACGAAAATGCCCAGGAAACATTCTTCAAGGTCAAGGTCATTTCACGCTCTGCGATCATTTTCTTTTGTCACACAAGTTAGGAAAGAAGCAATGAATGTATTATAATAATAATCATTATATTGTCATGCACTATGAAAATGCGTGATCATTTCCGGTTGACCAACACCACCGGAAACTAGAATAGCTGAGCACAACCGAAAATTAATAACAGTTAATTTGTTTCCTATTGCCCTTTACGACAAGACACTAGTAATCACTTCCTGTTGCTCTGTACTACCGGAAGTTGCCATGAAGCATCCTTTTAGGTCAAGGTCGTATTCATGCTCTCTTACTGATGGTGTGAAACATCTTCTTTACCCTCCATGCCTTGTCATGTCGCCACCACCAAACTATAAACAACGATAAAATACACGTATGTAAAAGCAAATAAATGCAGAACACCTTATTTTTTAATTTATTTCCGAACTGGATAAAAACACTTGGGTGGGTGGCAGTTGTTCCAGTACTCGTTCATCTGGTTGACATATTCCTGTGTCTCACAGCGGCTGGCGGGACAACAGGCGCCGGTGAGTGGCGTGTAACAGGCTAACCCTGCAAACACAGAATAGAGGCGTGAACACAATATCCCAGCATCATATATATATAGTTTCAATCTGTTATAGGGGGCACGGGTGGCCCAGTCGTCTAAGGCGCCGCGATTCGCGGTGCACAGATGCGTCCCTTGGACACGCCAGAAACCTATGATTGTGGGTTCGAATCCCGGTTCGCCCCGATTATGTTTCTAGGTTTGTCAGCACCATACCCGTGCTCATGGGTTCCACCGAAGTGGTAAACGTCTGAGACCTGCATCATTTCGGGCTTTCCTCCCACATTAAGCTGACACGCCGTGGGTGACTGGAACACTGTTAAAAGCGGCGTTTAACCCAACCCACTCACTCACTAACTCAATTTGTTATAACGTCTCAGGAAACAACCGCTTTGATGGCCAATGTTTCATCACGGGTTTTCCAAAGGACCAAACATTGTTTTTGAGCAAAATCACAAAAACCTTCGAAACTCATTGAACATTGATAATCTTTCCTATGACATGTCACTCCGGAATTTTTTTTTCGAAGTGGTACAGCTGGTAGTATTGCCAAATACAAGTCGGCATGATACTTCTGGAATATTGCTCATTGCAGGCCGCCCCGGTACAGCTGTGGTAGCGCTAGGTACAGGTCGCCGTGGTACAGCTGTGATATCGCTGAGTACAGATCGCCGTGGTACAGCTGTAATATTGCTGAGTACAGGTCGCCGTGGTACAGCTGTAATATTGCTGAGTACAGGTCGCCGTGGTACAGCTGTAATATTGCTGAGTACAGGTCGCCGTGGTACAGCTGTAATATTGCTGAGTACAGGTCGCCGTGGTACAGCTGTATTATCGCTGAGTACAGGTCGCCGTGGTACAGCTGTGGTATCGCTGAGTACAGGTCGCCGTGGTACAGCTGTAATATTGTTGAGTACAGGTCGCCGTGGTACAGCTGTGATATTGCTGAGTACAGGTCGCCGTGGTACAGCTGTGGTACTGCTGACTACAGGTCGCCGTGGTACAGCTGTGATATTGCTGAGTACAGGTCGCCGTGACACAGCTGTGATATTGCTGACTACAGGTCGCCGTGGTACAGCTGTGATATCGCTGACTACAGGTCGCCGTGGTACAGCTGTGATATCGCTGACTACAGGTCGCGTGGTACAGCTGTGATATCGCTGACTACAGGTCGCCGTGGTACAGCTGTGATATTGCTGACTACAGGTCGCCGTGGTACAGCTGTGATATCGCTGACTACAGGTCGCGGGGTACAGCTGTGATATCGCTGACTACAGGTCGCGGGGTACAGCTGTGATATCGCTGACTACAGGTCACCGTGGTACAGCTGTGATATTGCTGACTACAGGTCGCCGTGGTACAGCTGTGATATCGCTGACTACAGGTCGCCGTGGTACAGCTGTGATATCGCTGACTACAGGTCGCCGTGGTACAGCTGTGATATTGCTGAGTACAGGTCGCCGTGGTACAGCTGTGATATTGCTGACTACTGGTCGCCGAGGTACAGCTGTGATATCGCTGACTACAGGTCGCCGTGGTACAGCTGTAATATTGCTGAGTACAGGTCGCCGTGGTACAGCTGTGATATTGCTGACTACAGGTCGCCGTGGTACAGCTGTGATATTGCTGACTACAGGTCGCCGTGGTACAGCTGTGACTGGTCGCCATAATTCACTCACATCGACTCACACTGACTCACCTTTAGCACACGGGCAGCCTCCGCTGCACACCTCCTTCAGCTGGGCTGGGCCTGGCTTACACATACCATTGCCATTGCCTTGTGGACGAAGGAGGAGATCATCTGCAAGAACAGTTAAGCTTTCATCTCATACACAAAGTTCCATCACATACGAAAATTATCTAATCACACACCCAAACACGCCACTCGAGGTTGGTCTTAAGTTTGTACTGTAGAGAAGTCAGTGAGGAGGGCAGACAAATACATCTCACTTCGCATCTCCACGTTACACGTCTTTTGAAACATTAGACTTCAGCGCCGTTCCAGACAAAACAGAAGATGCAAAGTCAAGGATAAAAAAACGCTCCTGAGGATTTGGTTGACAATCCAAACATGAGGGAGAGGGACAACCCCGAGGGTCATGATGCCGTGGGTTTGTCTTGACTTCATTGTTAACCTATCCCGATGTCCCCCTGAGAGGGTATGTAAGACCACGTCTTTCAAAGTATATATATTTCTGCCACGTTTTTATTCGTAGTATATATGTTCGTTAAACTTTGACTAAATGTTTAAATAATCGCCAACAGCTGAGGAGATGATGTAAATCCGGCTGGGGTCCATGCAGGTAGCAAAAGTACTGTAAGTCCCCATGGACCCTAGCATGGTGATCAACCTTCAGTTGGTGGCGATCTATAGCCCGTTTTTATAATGTGTTGTTGAATAATTAGTTAGTTATCTATTTTTACATGTTCTCAAACTATTTTTACGAAAATATGTGATATTCTAGTTATTATACTGCACTTCGTCGGCAGAATTTTATACAGTGTAATATATAATGTAAATGTCAAATTTTGTTTCGTCAGGATATGGCTGAAATATTGCCGATGTGACGTTAAACTTTAACTCACTCACTCACTTATCCCGAGGGATAGTGGTTGACCTGTCTCATAAACCGGGATCTGAAACCCGCGTTCTATAAACCTTACAAAACGGACGTAAAATATCTCTCGCTGGTAAACATGAACTTCAAAAAGAGATTCTTAAAAGTGTTCTCGTTTATCAGCGCCTGTGGTGACTCACTCACTTGGCAACAAATACTTAGGTTTGATCTCATTTAAATACAAGTTACATTTGCCGTTCGATTTTACATTTTCTACATTTTCTTTGCAATGTGTGTTATGTAGATTTTGTTCAAGAGTAAAATACATTCCTTGCGAGAGACATTCTATTCAATAAAGGGGAATTTATAGTCGGGCAGTAAGCTGTGCCTAGAGGGGGTGTTATGAGCATGTCTTGGGGAGTCATATGACTCCAGAGTCGGGAGCACGGGTGGCCCAGTCGTCTAAGGCGCCGCGATTCGCTGTGCACAGTTGCGTCCCTTGGGCAAGCCAGAAACCTGTGATTGCGGGTTCGAATCCCGGTTCGCCCCGATTACGTTTCTTGGCTTGTCAGCACCATACCCGTGCTCGTGGGTTTCACCGAAATGATAAACGTCTGAGACCTGCATCACTTCGGCTTTCCTCCCACATTAAGCTGACACGTCGTGATATAACTGGAATACTGTTAAAAGCGGCGTTAAACCCCACACCCTCCCTCACTCACTCACTCACGAGAGTTTAAGGCCTACAACACAGGGACAGAGGGACTTTCTATAGAATATCCCCGGGACAGGGCAACGTTATACAGTACATCCCAGGGACATGTACAGAGGGATATTTTGTAGAACGTCCCTGCTTAGAACATATTCAACGAGATGAATACCACGTAGACACAATAGGATTTACTTAGAAGAAACAATATACTCGTGTTTATTTTCAGAGAAGTATCACCTCAAGGAATACCAGTAACACGTACTTTGGAAGCTCCATGCAGGGTTCAGGAGTATGTTGTTAGCATCTCTGCAGCACGTGCCGGAACTACAGTCAAGTGACGTACTGCATGTAGTTTCACGTAGGTATAGGCTTACACTCTCGGCAGCCACCTGGTGATTAAAAATGATATTGTCAAAATATATAAAATCAGCATCAATATTCTAGGAATATCAGGATTGGACATAACGAGCATGGGCTGGAAATATTGTATTCATGCAGCAATTCGAACCCGGGTCTTCGGCGAGGCGAGCGAACACATTTACCACCAGGCTACCCAACCGTCCCTCTGAAGTGTTTGTGTTTACAGTAACGGTACCGGTTCGCCCCGATTATGTTTCTAGGTATGTCAGCACCATACCCGTGCTCGTGGGTTTCACCGAAGTGGTAAACGTCTGAGACCTGCATCACTTCGGGCTTTCCTCCCACATTAAGCTGACACGCCGTGATATAACTGGAATAGTGTTAAAAGCGGCGTTAAACCCAACTCACTCACTCACTGCATGGGCGGATACAGCTTTTTTTAAAAGGGGGGTGCACAATTAAGATCTATTTATTGTCTTTGTTGGTAATTCATACAGAAATACAGATTTTTTCGAAATAAAAAAAAAAGGGGGGGGGGGGGGGGGGGGGGGGGGGGTGCGCACCCCCGTATTCGCCCATGCACTGTAATGGTACACTAGTAAGAGACTATTTTGGAAATCTGTATGTGTTTCTGGTAAATAACTGTTAAACACTCAAAATTAAAAGTGTTAAACTTTAAGTCATTTTTGCAAAAACACGACACAAAAGCCCAATTATTCCGAAGTTTGAAAATTCAAAACGTATTTACTGTTTAAAGTAGCTATGCTATTAAAATAAGCAATGAACACTGGCATGCATTTTATTTAATTAAAACTGAATGTAACCAATTCAAGAGATTGAAATATCAAAACTCGATACCATATATCAAATATCATGTGTATTGACAAATAGATATGGCTTTATTCGGGCTTATTGCAGTTGAAATAAACAAATACTGTTTTCCTTTCGAACAGCTGAGCATCAAGATCACGACTACAATTCTTAAACCATACATGTATAGTTAATAGGAGGATATACACATAACTTGCTCCTTTTGTTGATGCATGTCATCGATCCCAATTTCGTGGATCGATGCTCATGATATTTATCAATGGATGGTCTGGTCCATACTCGATTATATACAGACAGCCGTCATATATCAGGAATATTGCTGAGAGCAGCGTTAAACAACCAACCAACCAACCTTTTTTTACATCTAACTGAATCATATTTTGGAAATATAAATTTGGAAACAAACGACCAACAACTGAAAATAATAAGTCAGGTTATATTACAAACAGAATAATTTTAATATCCGTTTTATTTTGCAAAGAGGATTAATTTTACAACTGCAATAAGCGAGTCTCACTGTTTCGCATACGCAATACCATTGAACGCAAACAGAAAGCGAGTTATCGTTCGTGATTGAAATATATGTAGTTCTGTTCATACGCCGATATGGAATCTTTCAGGAGAGGCGTCAGTCGCCATTCGGCTTCATTCGTCACCACTCGCCCCTTTCCGTAAACTGCATTTGACCTGCCCCGGAATGACACGAGTTGGTCACGAATGCAATCGGCCCTCCGTAATACTTACGTATGACATATCCCCCCTCAGGTTTTACAATTCCCACCATGACCTCATTGTCGGCCTTGAACCTTTACTTTGCTCACGCGAGTAAATATATGTCCTTCTTTCCCGTCAATGCTATACAGCCAAGGCACAAACAACAATAGGTGGCAGCTGACGCGGGTCACGTAACTCGCACACCTCCTCGGCTACATTACCAGTTTAGTGTGTAAACCAGTGAGTAATCTATGTAATTTAACTACCTGATTCACATAGAGTTGACGCATGTACATCGGTAATGCTGAACTGCATGGAGTCGACAGGAACATCAGCCTATGGCTGTGCCCTACCTACGTGTTGTTTATATTGAGACCCCTATTTATATCTAACAGGACCGATGGCACGATGGATAATCATAATTTAATGTCCTGTTACTACTAACACTACTACTACTATTTATACTACTACTACTACTACTACTACTACTACTACTACTATTTAAACTACCACTAATACAAAAACTACTACGTACTACAACTACCATTTATACTACCACTACTACTACTATTTAATCTACCACTACTACTGCTACTATTTATACTACCACCACTACTACTACTACTACTACTACTACTACTACTACTACTACTACTACTACTACTACTACTACTACTATTATTATTTATACTACCACTACTACTACAACAACAACAACTAATACTACTACTACTACTAGTACTACAACTACTATTTATACTACCACTACTACTTCTACGACTACTACTACTATTGCCACCCCAAAGACAAACACCACCCATACTGCTTGATCGAATTACAACCACCACCATACTGCTTGATAGAATTACATCCACCTCCTATGCTGCTTGATAGAATTACAACCACCACCCATACTGCTTGATAGAATTACAACCACCACCCATACTGCTTGATAGAATTACAACCACCACCCATACTGCTTGGTAGAATTACAACCACCACCCATACTGCTTGATAGAATTACAACCACCACCCATACTGCTTGATAGAATTACAACCACCACCCATACTGCTTGATAGAATTACAACCACCACCCATACTGCTTGATAGAATTACAACCACCACCCATACTGCTTGATAGAATATCAACCACCGCCCATACTGCTTGATAGAATTACAACCAACGCCCATACTGCTTGATAGAATTACACCCCCCTCCCATACTGCTTGATAGAATTACAACCTCAACCATACTGCTTGATAGAATTACAACCACCACCCATACTGCTTGATAGAATAACAACCTCCACCCATACTGCTTGATAGAATTACAACCACCACCCATACTGCTTGATATAATTACAACCACCACCCATACTGCTTGATATAATTACAACCACCACCCATACTGCTTGATAGAATTACAACCACCACCCATACTGCTTGATAGAATTACAACCACCACCCATACTGCTTGATAGAATTACAACCACCACCCATACTGCTTGATAGAATATCAACCACCGCCCATACTGCTTGATAGAATTACAACCAACGCCCATACTGCTTGATAGAATTACACCCCCCTCCCATACTGCTTGATAGAATTACAACCTCCACCATACTGCCTGATAGAATTACAACCTCCACCATACTGCTTGATAGAATTACAACCACCACCCATACTGCTTGATAGAATTACAACTTCCACCCATACTGATTGATATAATTACAACCACCACCCATACTGCTTGATATAATTACAACCACCACCCATACTGCTTGATATAATTACAACCACCACCCATACGGCTTGATAGAATTACAACCACCGCCCATACTGCTTGATAGAATTACAACCACCGCCCATACTGCTTGATAGAAATACACCCCCTCCAATATTGCTTGATAGAATTACAACCTCCACCATACTGCCTGATAGAATTACAACCACCACCCATACTGCTTGATATAATTACAACCACCACCCATACGGCTTGATAGAATTACAACCACCGCCCATACTGCTTGATAGAATTACAACCACCGCCCATACTGCTTGATAGAAATACACCCCCTCCAATATTGCTTGATAGAATTACAACCTCCACCATACTGCCTGATAGAATTACAACCAACGCCCATACTGCTTGATAGAATTACATCCCCCTCCCATACTGCTTGAAAGAATTACAACCTCCACCATACTGCCTGATAGAATTACAACCTCCACCATACATCTTGATATAACTACTACCACTGAAAATGAAAATAATATATCCACTTCTACTAAAAATAATAAAATCACTACAACACATGTCTTTAACTTATTATAATACATACACACACACTGGCGTTTTGTAAATCAACTGAAACACTTACGATGGCTGCCAGTAGACAGATCAGACTTTTCATTGTTGACACGAGCGCTATGACTGTCGCCGACAACAGCTTGCCACTTAGGCGCATCCTGCTGCTTTATACACTCACTCCCGGATCTGACACAGAAGAGGTCGTATCGGCCAATCAAGTGATGTATACCTCAGTCAAACATTACCTAGAACTGCGACGTTAAACAAACAGCCTGGCCTGTTGTGATCCATGGTCTCACCTGTAACCATCATCCTGACTGCCGCGCCCGTACCAAGCATTTCACCTCTCAATCTTGAGTTCCTTATCTGCAGCCTTACACCAACATCCCTGTATCTTAAACCCTGCACTTGTTGCCCCGCACCCGTAGCCTGCATCTGTAACCTGGCACATGTAGCCCCGCACCTGTAGCCTGCATCTGTAACCTGGCACCTGATTAGCCCAGCACCTGTAGCCTGTACCTGTAACTAGGCACATGTTGCCCCGCACCTGTAGCCTTTACCTGTAACCAGACACATGCAGCCCCGTACCTGAAGCCTGCATCTGTAACCTGGCACCCGATAAGTCCCGCACCTGTAGCCTGTACCTGTAACTAGGCACATGTTGCCCCGCACCTGTAGCCTGTACCTGTGATCAGACACATGCAGCCCCGTACCTGAAGCCTGCATCTGTAACCTGGCACCCGATAAGTCCCGCACCTGTAGCCTGTACCTGTAACTAGGCACATGTAGCCCCGCACCTGTAGCCTGTACCTGTAACCAGACACATGCAGCCCCGTACCTGAAGCCTGCATCTGTAACCTGGCACCCGATAAGTCCCGCACCTGTAGCCTGTACCTGTAACTAGGCACATGTTGCCCCGCACCTGTAGCCTGTACCTGTGACCAGACACATGCAGCCCCGTACCTGAAGCCTGCATCTGTAACCTGGCACCCGATAAGTCCCGCACCTGTAGCCTGCATCTGTAACCTGGCACATGTAGTCCCGCACCTGTAGCCTGTATATGTAACATTGGACGTGTAGTCCGCACCTGTGGCCTGTACCTGTGACCTTTGACGTGTAGCCCCGCACATGTAGGCTGCAACTGTAACTTGGCACCTGATTTGCCCCGCACCTATAGCCTTTACCTGTAACCCTGCACTTATAGCCCCGCACCGGTAGCGTGCATCTGTAACCACGCACATGTATCCCCGCACCTGTACCTTGGCACATGTAACCCCGCACCTGTAGCCTGTACCTATACCTTGGCACATGTTTCCCCGCACCTGTAAACTGCATCTGTAACTAAGCACATGTAACCTCGCACCTGTAGATTGCATCTGTAACTAGGCACATGTAACCCCGCACCTGTAGACTGCATTTGTAACTAGGCACATGTAACCCCGCACCTGTAGACTGCATTTGTAACTAGGCACATGTAACCCCGCACCTGTAGACTGCATTTGTAACTAGGCACATATAATCCCGCCCCTGTAGACTGCATTTGTAACTAGGCACATGTAACCCCGCACATGTAGACTGCATTTGTAACTAGGCACATGTAACCCCGCACCTGTAGACTGCATTTGTAACTAGGCACATGTAACCCCGCACCTGTAACTTGGCACATGTAGCTCCGAAACTCTAGTCTGCATCTGTTACAAGGCACATGTAGCCCCGCACCTGCTGCCTGCACATGTAATCCCGCATCTGAAGCCTGCATCTGTAACTAGGCATATGTAGCCCCGCACCTGTAACCTTGTGTTTGTAACCAAACACGTCGGTCACCAATTACATGTAGACATGCACCTTGAACATTATGACTTTTGACATAAACCCAAATAGCAACTTGTTCTAATGTGTGCGACAATAGTTAGTCCCTTCATAATAAATACTTATTATTTTTAATAAAGTTTAATTACCCTCAAAATATGTTGAAACATGACTTATTGAGGCTATATAGAATACCATCTGGGTGAGAGGAGATACAGTGTGGCCAATGCTGGCAGTAAATGAAGACTTAATGGGTATTTGGTCAGACTCTGTGACTTTGGTGGTCCGTCTTCTCTTAACGGATGGGCGTGGCCCAGGTCTGTCTGGTCCAGACGCTATTATTTACATGTGCCTAGTTACAGATGCAGGCTTCAGATGCGGGATTACATGTGCCTAGCTACAGATGCAGGCTTCAGGTGTGGGCCAACATATGCCAAGTTACAGATGCAGGCTACAGGTGCGGGGTTAAAGGTGTCAGATTACAGATACAGTCTACAGGTGCGGGGCTACATGTGCCAGGTTACAGATGCAGGCTACAGGTGCGGGGCTACATGTGCCAGGTTACAGATGCAGGCTACAGGTGCGGGGCTACATGTGCCAGGTTACAGATGCAGGCTACAGGTGCGGGTTACATGTGCCAGGTTACAGATGCAGGCTTCAGGTGCGGGGTCACATCTGCCCGGTTACAGATGCAGGCTTTAAGTGCGGGGCTACATCTGCCCGGTTACAGATGCAGGCTACAGGTGCGGGGCTACATGTGCCAGGTTACAGATGCAGGCTTCAGGTGCGGGGCTACATGTGCCAGGTTGCAGATGCAGGCTACAGGTGCGGGGTTACATCTGCCCGGTTACAGATGCAGGCTACAGGTGCGGGGCTACATGTGCCAGGTTACAGATGCAGGCTTCAGGTGCGGGGCTACATGTGCCAGGTTGCAGATGCAGGCTACAGGTGCGGGGTTACATGTGCCAGGTTACAGATGCAGGCTTCAGGTGCGGGGCTACATGTGCCAGGTTACAGATGTAGGCTTCAGGTGCGGGGCTACATGTGCCAGGTTACAGATGCAGGCTTCAGGTGCGGGGTTACATGTGCCAGGTTACAGATGCAGGCTTCAGGTGCGGGGTTACATGTGCCAGGTTACAGATGCAGGCTTCAAGACGGGGCTACATGTGCCAGGTTACAGATGCAGGCTTCAGGTGCGGGGTGACATGTGCCAGGTTACAGATGCAGGCTTCAGGTGCGGGGCTACATGTGCCAGGTTATAGATGCAGGCTACAGGTGCGGGGTTACATGTGCCAGGTTACAGATGCAGGCTTAAGGTGCGGGTTACACTTGCCAGGTTACAGATGCAGGCTTCAAGACGGGGCTACATGTGCCAGGTTACAGATGCAGGCTTCAGGTGCGGGGTTACATGTGCAAGGTTACAGATGCAGGCTTCAAGACGGGGCTACATGTGCCAGGTTACAGATGCAGGCTTCAGGTGCGGGGTTACATCTGCCCGGTTACAGATGCAGGCTTCAGGTGCGGGGCTACATGTGCCAGGTTATAGATGCAGGCTACAGGTGCGGGGCTACATGTGCCAGGTTGCAGATGCAGGCTTCAGGTGCGGGGCTACATGTGCCAGGTTATAGATGCAGGCTACAGGTGCGGGGTTACATGTGCCAGGTTACAGATGCAGGCTTAAGGTGCGGGTTACACTTGCCAGGTTACAGATGCAGGCTTGAAGACGGGGCTACATGTGCCAGGTTACAGATGCAGGCTTCAGGTGCGGGGTTACATGTGCAAGGTTACAGATGCAGGCTTCAAGACGGGGCTACATGTGCCAGGTTACAGATGCAGGCTTCAGGTGCGGGGTTACATGTGCCCGGTTACAGATGCAGGCTTCAGGTGCGGGGTTACATGTGCCAGGTTATAGATGCAGGCTACAGGTGCGGGGCTACATCTGCCCGGTTACAGATGCAGGCTTCAGGTGCGGGGTTACATGTGCCAGGTTACAGATGCAGACTTCAAGACGGGGCTACATGTGCCAGGTTACAGATGCAGGCTTCAGGTGCGGGGCTACATGTGCCAGGTTATAGATGCAGGCTACAGGTGCGGGGCTACATCTGCCCGGTTACAGATGCAGGCTTCAGGTGCGGGGCTACATGTGCCAGGTTATAGATGCAGGCTACAGGTGCGGGGCTACATCTGCCCGGTTACAGATGCAGGCTTCAAGACGGGGCTACATGTGCCAGGTTACAGATGCAGGCTTCAGGTGCGGGGTTACATGTGCCAGGTTACAGATGCAGGCTTCAGGTGCGGGGTTACATGTGCCAGGTTACAGATGCAGGCTTCAAGACGGGGCTACATGTGCCAGGTTACAGATGCAGGCTTCAGGTGCGGGGTTACATGTGCCAGGTTACAGATGCAGGCTTCAGGTGCGGGGTTACATGTGCCAGGTTACAGATGCAGGCTTCAAGACGGGGCTACATGTGCCAGGTTACAGATGCAGGCTTCAGGTGCGGGGTTACATGTGCCAGGTTACAGATGCAGGCTTCAGGTGCGGGGCTACATGTGCCAGGTTATAGATGCAGGCTACAGGTGCGGGGCTACATCTGCCCGGTTACAGGTACAGGCTTCAGGTGAGGGGCTACATGTGCCAGGTTACAGATGCAGGCTTCTGGTTTCATGATTTCGTTGTCGAATTAAAATATAAGCATTGACTGTGGCAATCCTTAAATAAACAAATACACCTAGGCCAAACGTAATAGTCCATTTTAGTGCTATATAACCATACATTTGGATCAGACGATAAATGAACAAATAAAATATTTGGAAGATTTCGCAATTGTTAAATAAACAAAATAGCTTTTTCCTAAGGCAAAATTATACCCTTGACCTGGAACGAGCAGTGACCCGGATCTTCCATCAAATACATATTGTTTGTCGACATCCCTTTCCTCATTTGCCTCAGGGCTCTCCTATAACGCAAGCGGATATAAAAAGTCATACTTGATTGGCCGATGACGTCATAACCAGTCTCACAGACATACGTACATGTACTTACAGTTTCCTAGAACTTTCAAATCGCGGTTGGTACAAGAGGAAATGGAATCTAATGAGGTACGTTTTATATAAATCTGAGTATACATCCACAGTCCCTATTGGACTTGACGTTATTAAAATGTTATGTCATTCTTAGCAACTTGCTTATAAACCTCCGGGGCGGTCGGGTAGCCTAGCCTAGATAATCTTCTTTATCTCCAAATAAGTTGTTTTCATTAGGTACATCTGTAACTATTTAATCTTCCCAAAGTACCCTTCCATGCCTTTCTAAAACAACATCGTAAAGAAGCTAATGAGTCTTCTTAATTACAGGAAGACTATACCATTATAACAATAGGTAAACTCAATCAGCCATGACAACTCTCTGTAGCTGTT